GAAGGACCGAAAACCCAGGCGGGGCAAGCTGGGAGAGCACTACGGTCTCCCCGTCCCGCACCCAGGTTTCGGTCACGCATGCCACGTCCGCTCTCTGCTCGAGCAGGAAGTCCCGAAGGACCGCGGTCTTGTTGTTTATTGACCTGGCATTGCTCAACACCAATGACGGAGGGGAGTCAATCATCCTCGCCCCTCCGCTGACCACCTTCGGGATGGGTCGCAGGCTGGAAGGGCACCGAGCCAAACCATTTCTCCGTGTCCTTCCCTTAGCTCTATGCCTGGACCCACCGCTATACTTCCCCCTCCCCAGGAGCACCGGAATTTGTTGGGCAGGCATCACCATCCCTGTTCGTCTTCGCATCAGCCACAGACTGCTAAAGGATGATGGCTCTTCACCCCACGTACTCTGGGCTCTACTGATCTAATATCTAAACCCTCCCGTCCTAATAAAACATACAATCCCCTCAATTGCTACTAATAATACCCAATTGTAAACGGCGAACCCAGCTTACACTAGTTCCATATATCTTTCCTAGCAATACAACAATTTTAATCCTCTAGGACAGTTAGGGTATAAAGCCATACTGCCTCCTAAGAGCAGTTCATTACATAGTTCAGTAACCAAGTTCCTATTACTCCCCTCCCCACTAATTCCCGCTGAATCCCACTAGTCCGCAGTCCTCTACCTCCGGGCCCCAAATCACTAAAAAAAAGGGGGGTCCAGAGTCACCTCCAGTTCTACATCAAGGGGGGGGGATCTCCCACTGATCCCTTTGCTAGAGCCGTCGCTGATGGAATTACGGCCACTGGGGGTGCTCTGATTTCCCTGCTCCTCACAGTTCTGTGCTCTGTGCCATGCTCAACCCGGGCCGCCGTCTCCCCCACCAAGCAGGGTGGTCTCCAGTGCTTCCAGATGTTCCACTCCCTCCTCATGGGCACTTGGGACCATGCCACAGCCGCCACCGCTCATCTCCAGGTCCTCAGACCGCAGGAACCCGGTCACCGGTCCTGCTCCAGCCTCGTGGCTCACTGCTGTCCTCCCGTTAGGAACGCCCGTCGCTGCTGTCCTCCTGATGGGAATGCCCGTCAGCTGAAGGGGCCCCCAGAGTGGGCCAAGACCCGCCCGCGGCTCCCCCGTCGCACTCTGCGGGACCCACTGGTCGTGTCCCTAAACGCCCAATCGACACAAGGCTTGCCACTCCCGTCTGCAAAGGGAGGGGGCTGCGGCACTCAGCCACCCAGCCTCTCCGTTTGCTGCTCCGTCTCACGTCGGTGTCCGCTCCCACAGGCAGGCGTCGACCAGGCCTCAGCCAGACCGCCCCCCGTCTCACCTGCCGAAACTTCCTCCGTCTCACCGGCAAATGCTCAACCGCGGCGCCGGCGTCTGCCCCTACAGGTAGGCCTGAATGGAGTGCCGGGCGTCTTGCACTCTCGCAGCTATCGTAGTCGGCTCTCTTCCCGTCCCTCAGGACCCTCCGTTCTTTCCGGCCCCTTAAGTTCTTAAATTGGAGATTCTGATGTTCTTAAGTTGGAAATTCCAGTGTACTTAAGTTGGAGATTCTGATGTTTTCCGATGTTACCCGGCATTCTGATGTTTTTCGGTGTTACCCGGCGTTACCCGGCGTTTCCAAGTGTTCTTTAGATGTGTTCAGGTGGTTTTCTTTAGATGATTCTTTAGATGTTTCAGGTGGTTTTCTTTAGATGTTTTCAGGGGGGTTTTCAGGTAGTTTTCAGGTAGTTGTAGGGTGATTTTTCTAATGGTTGTAGGGAGCACAAGCTCACACAACCTCACCGCGCCGCCATCTTGAAGCTTTTTTGTACTCCCCCAACCTCCCCTCACACGTGAAACTGGTGAGGGAAGTGCTCCGGGCATTGCACAAGCACAAACTCTTTGCCAAACTCTCCAAGTGTGAGTTTCATAAGTCCGCTACTGACTTCTTAGGGTATAGGATCTCAAACAAGGGATTGGAAATGGACTCGGGGAAGGTCCAGGATGTACTTGGGTGGGAGGACCCCCGCACACGCCGCCAGCTCCAGTCCTTCCTCGGATTCTCGAATTTCTATCAAAATTTTCTCCCCAACTTTGCCCAGATCAGCTTACCACTCACTGACTTGATAAAAACAAAAGGGAAGGGTCCAGACACGACCAAACCGAGTGCTAAGCTTCAGTGGACGGAGAAATGCCAGGAAGCATTTGACCAGCTTAAGACGCTATTCACGTCAGAGACAGTGCTTGCCCACCCAGATGAAAATAAAAAATTCATCGTCCAAGTAGACGCATCAGACGTGGTAATGGGGGGGGCGATCCTGCAAGAGGGGGGCGATGGGTTGTTACACCCCCTGGTGTATGTATCCCGTAATTTTAACGAGACCAAGCACAATTGGTCAGTTTGGAACAAAGAGGCGGGAGCAATCCGGTTGGCACTCTCTACCTGGAGACATTGGTTGGAAGGGGCCAGGGTGCCGTTTGAGGTCTGGACAGATCATAAGAACCTGGAAATGCTTAAAAGCCCCCGTAACCTTAATGCCAAACAGTTACGGTGGGCCGATTTCTTTTCCAAGTTTCAATTCACGTTGTACCATTTCCCGGGCTCTGTGAATTCACTGGCGGATGCGCTATCCCGCCTCCCGCCAAAGGGAGGTGGTACTGGATTCTATGTTCATGCCCTCACATCTAGGAGGGGCAGTGACGACTCGCAGCCGTGCGACCTCCTCCCCTCCGGACCAGCTCTCGGGTCACAACTCCTCCCCTCCTGTTTCTCCAGGCGGGGTGGCCTGGAACATCTGCCTTTTCAAATGCCGACAAAGAGGACGTGGAAAATGTCGGGGGGTGGAAAAGAAAGTGGATGGTTGCTGGTACCGTGGCACCAAACCGTTTGTACCCAAATCCTTATGGGGGGAGGTGCTCGCAACGGTTCATGGCTCCAAACTCGCCGGCCACTCTGAATTCGTAAAATCTCTGCACCTCCTGCAAAGACAATTTTGGTGGCCACTTATGTGGAAGGGTTTATCTTCGTTCTTTCAGTCTTGCCAAACCTGTGTCATGTGTAAACCCTGCCCTGACAAAACTCCGGGGTTGTTGAAACTTCTCCCAACCCCAAGTCGCCCCTGGGAGGTGATCTCTATGGATTTTATTACGGATCTACCCCCTAGTAAAACCATGATGGTCATTTGGGTGGTGGTTGACCTGTTTTCTAAACAGGCTTACTTTATCCCGTTTGCATCCTTGCCCACCGCCAAGGCTCTGGCAAAGGCCTTTATGCAACACGTGGTGCACCTCCATACGCTCCCAGGCAAGATTATCTCTGACAGGGGGGCGCAATTCATTTCCAAGATTTCTGGGGAATTATTAATACTCATGGGGGTTGAACGGGCCATGAGTAGCGCCTATCATCCAGAGACTGATGGACAGACCGAATGAGTGAATCAGACTTTGGAACAATATTTGCATTGTTTCACCAATTACCAGCAGGATGATTGGGTAGACTTACTTCCCCTAGCTGAATTTTGCTATAATAACACATGTCACTCCTCTATGGGAATGTCCCCGTTCAAAGTGCTCTATGGCTATGACAGCCCCCCATTGCCCTTTCTCGGGGGTGCTGCCTTGGGCCCGGGGGATGCTGCACAGTGGTGTCAACAACTTCAAAACTCTTGACCTTTATTATGTAAGACATTGGAAGTGGCCAAAGAGGCTTATAAGGCTCAGGCTGACAAGAGAAAGGTGGAGGGGTGGGCTCTGCAGCCTGGGGATTCTGTGTATGTATCTACTGGGTTGGAAGTTCATTGGCCCGTTTAAAGTCAAACGCCTGATCAATGATGTGGCTGTGGAGCTTGACCTTCCGAAGAACATGCGCAATATCCATTCTGTGTTTCATTTCAGCCTTCTGAAATGGGACCCAGGCCCAAGTTCCTGGCGCCCCACCAAGCCTGTACCCCCTCCTATCATGGTAGAGGGCGAAGAACATTTTGAGATCTCCAAGATCCTGGACTCTAAAGTTAAACGTGGAAAACTGTTTTATTTAGTGGAATGGTTGGACTTTAGACCCCAGCATCGCGAATGGGTGGAAGTAGGGGATATTCAGGCCCCTAGACTCTTGCGGGAGTTTCACCAGGAGTTCCTGGAGAAACCAGGAGGTATCCCGGACTAACTGGGAGATCTCCCGGGCGGGCCAGGAGGTTGTTCTTTGGGCAGACAGAATGTCAGCTATGCTGCCGTATGATTTATCGGCCCGAATTCAATTTCATGACCTGTGTGCCAGTTGCTGCCGCATTCCTTTCTTTTCGCTTCTCCCCTCGTTATCACTGACCTTGTAGCCTGCCTGTGTAGTGTCTTCCCATCAATTAACCGTGTGACTAGTTTCGTTTCCCAGCCTCGGCTCTAACTGCCCTGGTCCTCCTTCCCACCCGCGGGAGTCAGGCCGATTGGCCCATAGGTGTGTGGGGGGGTACATTTGAATACCCTATATCTCTCTCTGCTTTCTGTGTAGTATGGCCCTTCCAACTCTATGTAATTCTATGGCCAAGTTCAGACTGGCAGTTTGGCCCGGCAGCCAAACGTTTCAGGTAGCAGTTCAGTAGTGGATTGAAGGGGTGGGTTCACACAGGCACATCTGTCAGGCATCCCCCAGCCGTACTCAAACCGTCTTGTGCCGCTTTACTCCTGAGTTTAAAAGATACCAGGTGAAAGTGGTAGCAAACTGTGTGTAGAGCAGGTTGATTCCAGTTCCCTGAGTGTGAACGCAAGCGCTGCTAAGGCGAGAACAACCCACGGTAATTGATAATAGGTGCCAGCTGTTTCCGCAGGCAGGCGCCGTTGGGGCCTGCGTGATCATGCCGTATTTGCTGCTGTGCCCATGCGCCCATGCGCATGGGTGCATGCAGCCCAGCGTGGAAACAGCCGCTACCAGCCCGCTAGGGTGGCCCAACAGTGTGAATGCTCCGTTGCGCTTCCTCCATGGTATCCTCCCGCTTCATTCGCTGTGGTGTGAATGGGACTACCTCAACCAAGCCGTTCCGGGTCTGTTCCGGTTTTTCTTTGCCACGACTCCCTAGCGCTTCAAATTGCCAGTCTGAATGCAGCCTATGATTCTCAGCAGTGGCTCCTTATTGACTGAAGTCTCTCTTCTCTGCCAGGTCAACTAATGGGGTGGTTTTAGATGCTGGGTAAGATTATGACTACTTACCGTAGCATTTAGTGCTAGGTGAACTATGCAGCTGTCTGATTCGGCTGTGTTTTATTTGCTGTCATTTTGTCATTTAGATCTTATTGTAATTTGAAATGAAACTCTATGCTGCCCTGCAAACTTTGAGCTGAAAGCACATCAAAATATTTAATTAATTATATGCAAAGATTCCTGCATAATAACCAGAATGGTTAATCTTTATTCTTGGACCAGGAGGCACCTTTGCACAAGGGAATGGGGGGGGGGGCGGATGGAGAAGGGGGAGAGCAAAGTGGGACCACCTCTTGTGCCCCTTTCTCCCAGCAGGAGAGGGAGAGAGAGAAGGGTGCAAGAGGGAGAAGAAGGATGCAGAAGCAAATGAGGGTTTGTGTGGAAGAAGGGTGCGGGGGGGAGCAGGGGAGGGGCGAGTGTGAGTGAGCAGGGGGTCAGGGACAGTAATGGGAAGCAGTGGGGGGTGGCCATAAGCCCCACGGAAAGCCCTCGGTCTCAGCGGCTACCCTGGCCCGAAGGAGGCTGCTGCAGGCCCTGGCTGGAGAACTGTGTGACCCACCGAGGGAGTCCCGGGCAAAAGAAAGCACTGAGCGATTTTTAACCAGTTCAGGAATATACAGTTGAGTAAATCCATCTTTTTAACCCAGATCAATCAAATCACGAACGTATACTTGCCTATATCAAGATACCAAAATGTAAAGAGAACATACCAAAGCTGTCACTCTTTATTAGAAGGAAAAATCCTCTTTGGTCCCGGTCACACGGGCCGGATAACGCGGGGGGGGGGGATGGGTGGCTGTTCGTCCCGGAGCAAAATAAAGCGCGGTAGCCCGATCACACGGTCCCCTGAGGCTTCGCGCTTAGGCTGTTAGCTGGCAATCACACTGCGATGCTGGAGCATGGCAAAGAAGCAGTATGACAAGCATTTTGCATTTGTGTGCATGTGCAGCACGGCTTTCAGTTACGTGTTTGTGTGCATGCGCTTACGAAAAACATCCAGTTTGCGACGAGACGTGGACGGGCACTGGATGCCACGGGATACTAGCACTACCGCGGTCAGATGCCCGCCCCTGCCCCACGTTTTTTAGATACTAGTGCACTTTCCACAATACTTTTTTACTGCGCATCTTCGGCGGGACGCCACGGGTTGGCCACAGGTGCGCTCCGTTTCCTAGATGTTGTGGTGTGATCGTGCACCGAAAATCCGCCTGACATTGTT